GAAAAAAGTGGTCCAATTAATTTCATAATATTTTTTTTGTTTTCCAAAATATTATTACGGATTTTTGGCCAAACATCTTCGATGGTTAGCTGGACAAGTTTGTCGTGCATTTCATCAAGTTCATATTTGTAAATCAAAGGAAAATAAATGGATAATGTCTGTTCATTCAGGTCCGTTTGTATGAATGTTCGACAATGTTTCATTAATCGTTCATCACCATAACAATTGGCCAAATCAATAATAATCAATTTGGAATTTATTATTATTGATCTGTTATTGATCTATTGAGCAAAAGCAGCAACGAAAAAAAAAATAATCAAAAATCGATAAAATTTTTTGAATTTTTATTAGCAATTTTTAATTGAATTTACATTGAATTTATCTTTATAAAGTTGAAAAAAAGACATTAGAAAATACAATCTAAACGACGACAATGAATAGCTTAATTCGAATATTGGAAGATGGATTTTTTTTTAATAATTTTTTTTTTTTTTTTTGATACAATAAATCATTCTTCTGTAAGAAAAGATTGTTGTTCAGAAGAAACTAATTCAAGAAATTTGTAAATAATATTTTTGTTTTTTATAAGATTGTTTGTAATTTTTGGTAAAATATTTTTGATAGTTATTTGGACAAGTCTATCATGCATTCCATCAAATTCATATTTGTCAATCAATGTAAGATAATAGACTAATGTTTGTTCATTCAAATCTGTTTGTATGAATGTTCGACAATGTTTCATTAATCGTTCATCACCATAACAATTTGCCAAATCAATAAGTTCAGCTATATTAGAATGTTTGATTCGGATATGATTATTATCATATAACATACGTAGATATGCGTAATATGTATCATATCCATAATCATTAATGATTATAGTATTAGTATTTTTCCAATCCCCCGAAAACATTCGACTATAATATTTTGATGCCATTTTTAGGTAACATTTTGAAGCCAATATTGGTTTGTCATCAATAACAAATTTGACATCATAATTATCTGGATTATTGAATAATTGATTATTTGATTTTAAATCGCATGTATCGATTGTTGTTAAACCAAAAGTGATTGGTGATTCTAATAGCAATATTGATGCTGCAACAAATGATTCCAATTGACCATTTAATTTTTCCGGTGATAATTTGTTTACACCATGACCCCATACATAATAATTGTATGATTTATCCATAGCGAATGAAAAATCAAGATTATTCTTACAAGCAACACTTTGCACATTTTCAATCGGTATTTTTGTAGCCATTTTTGAATCTTGTTTATTATCATAAATGTGACGTTGACCAAGACCACATCCAAAAATTTGACCATCCTCCAATAAAAATAACGAATGATATGGACCTGCTATAATATTTTTGATTAGACTATTAATCGAACCATTAATAAATGGAACAACTGAAGGTTTTCTTCGATCAAAAGTATTTCCCAAACCTAATTGACCACTACTGTGAAAAAACCAAAACAACATGCAAAAAATCTAGCGAACACGTGATTTAGTTTTTTGAAAAATCTAATAATTTATTCATGATTCGCTTCTAAACACCGAATGACTTAAAAATATTTTAGAACAATTAAGAACAAAAGTTCGAATAGCACAAAAGTTCGAATAGAACAAAGATTTAAGTTCGGAACATCGAACTTGATTTTAGATCGTTTTTGCTTCATGACACTCCCGGCGCGGAAATGGAATATCAGTTCGTTGTCATCTAATAATGCGATTAGCCATAATTTACATCTGAAAATACGATCGTAAGACACTAAATCATGAATTCCAGTTCTTTTAAATTTAAATCGAAAAACTTCCAAACGAATCGGCCAAATTCCATTTGTTTCCAAAACATCTACGTCTGTTGGTTGTTGTCGTCCGTAGGCAATTACGAATGCACCAGGTGGAAAAAATATCCATTCAAATTTTCGGTTATCCAATTTGCTAAAAATTTCATTATCGTAAATCATTTTCTTTCGGTTACGATAAAATCGGTAGATCAAATTCCAACTTTTCATTGATGTATTACCTAGAGGAAATAACTTATCCACAAAAATCATCAAATAATAATTCAATTTTTTCAAGTCATCAACACGATCAGCTAATTCGAGATTCTTGATAGAAGAAAACGAGCCAAAACGTTGTACATTAAACATCGAATCAAAACGCATTGCATCACGGGAAGAAAAAACATCGCGAATTCGGTACAACACATTGCCCAATTCATATGGAGCAAGAAGTCTTGATTCAACAATAGATACTTTATCAAAGTTGTTCTTCGGACGTTGATCGGATAAAATCGATAATTGAGTTTCAAAACGACCAATCACTTGATCAATTCGTCGCTTGATCTGAATATTATCATCTTCATCTCTATCGTTATTCAAATCATCATTGTCGAAATTCAGATCTTTTTTCAATTCCGGTTTCAGCAACTCCTCTACAGGTGTAGATGATTGTTCATTCTTAAATTCATCAATTTCGAAAACATTTTCAAGAGCAGCTGGTTTATTCATTTCGATTGAGCTACAATCCTTTCGTGCCTGGTAACTGATGACACCAAAAATCGTGGGGATTGATAGCACTTTCGGTTGATTCTTATAAAAGAATCCTAAATTATCAGTACCAATAATGATTAAATTTTTTTCATACATTTTCATTGCGAACAAATCAATTGAAATTTCATAGGGATTGCCTCGAATCTTCAAAACCACTTTCTTATGACTGGTTTTGGCTTCTCCCAGCGGCGATGTTGCCAATATCGAATAGTTTTTATCCGGATTATCCTGATCATCTAATAACAAATCATGATCAATCACAGAAATATTAGATCCACTGTCCAACAATATGACACTATCTTTTCCATTGCATTTTCCATAAATCACTGGACGATTTTCAAAATTACCATTTCTTTTGGCATCAAATACATTAGACAAATTTCGATAAGTGATAGCGGCTACTGAACCTCTATCCGATGAATCACTATTCAATAATTCTGATGATGAAGATTCCGATGATGATGAAATATCGTTTCTAGCAATTTCTTTGGGTTTCGTATGAAACAATTCATTCAATACGTCATGCATTTCGGTTGCGTGATAATTATCACACTTTTTGCATTTATCTTCCAAGAAAACAGTACAATCCTTACTAAGATGTCCACGTTGAAGACACTTAATACATAATCCTTTAGATCGAATAACATCAACAATAAATTTCGGANGCCAAAAGTGATTGGTGATTTATTTACTATTGCTGATGCTGCTGCAAATGATTTCAGTTGACCGTCCAATTTTTTGAGTGGTAACAATTTTCTATAATTTAATCTACCCCATCTATAATAATGTGATGAATGATCCAATGCCAATGAAATATGGAGATAATTTGTACAAGCCACACTGCACATTTTCAATGGGAATTTTTTTCGGCACTTTTGCATCTTGCTTAGCATCATTAATATAGCGTGGACCATAATCACATCCAAAAATCTGACCATCCTCCAATAAAAATGAAGAATGCCATTCACCGGCCACAATATTTTTGATTTGGCTATTAATCGAACCATCAGGAAATAAAACAAGTGAAGGTGTTCTTCGGTCATTTGTATCCCCTAGACCTAACTGTCCATTCTTATTCCAGCCCCAGGAATAAATTTCATTCGTATTGGTAAGAGCAAGGCTATGTTCACTCCACAAGCTATTATTTTGACATTATTCAAACCAGTGTCCACAAGTTCATCATACGATTCCGGTAAATTACCGGTCAATTGACCATATTCATTTTCTCCCAAAGCAAAAACAGTTCCTTCTTGTTGTAACAACAACAAATGATGCTGTCCACATGCTATCATTTCAAAACGATCATTACCGATAGAGATCAATCGAAAAGTATTGTTCGTTTGCCAATTTGAATCACCACTGGCTAGATACACTCGTCCATCATCAGTTAGAACGACAACAAAATTATAACCAGAATTGGCTTGTATAATTTTCTTGCCATTCAAAATGTCAATCTGTTGTGGTTGTTTTGGATTATGTTGTAACGATAGCCACTTGCATATTTCTTCACCATAAGCATAGGTAGCATTATTATTGGTAATAAATAGAAAACCCATATCACTATCATGAGAGGATATTTTAAAAACGGAAACAATGTTTGGAATAAATTCCGGATCAATATCTTTTAAATCATTTTGAAATAATCCAATATCCACCCAAGTATCGGTTGGTATTATTTTCATTGTTTTTTTTTCTTGAAAATTTAGTTTTGTTTGCAGCAAAAAAAAAGGTTTTCAACACTGGTCTGCTAAAACACACACATAAACAAACAATCACAAAATGTGTAATACACAATACCCGAACAATTTATTGATTGATTTGATCATTAACAACAAATTTTTGAAGAAAACAATACACAAATTGAAAGCAAACAACGAAATGAAAAAAGTTACACGATCGTTAGATCATCGTTGCATTTATGCTCGAAAAAAGAAAATCGAAAAGAAAACATGAGTTTGCGCAACACGTTTTTTTTAGCTGTCCAAAATTGTAATGTTAATGCAGGCATTTTTTTTTTGTTCAACATGCGACGTACGGTACACGCAATCAAATAGAAAAAAAATTGCAAAAATTCTGGCTTAAAAGATTCATTTTTGATAGTCACTTTTGACTATTTTTTTCCAAAAAAAAGATTGNAGGCGCCAGACTGTCTGGCTATTGAATGGAAAATGCAAAAAATGGTCCTTATTATCGTTTGATATTTTTTCTTTTCACATTCATTTTCGAAACGATAGTGCAAAAAGTAATAAGTTTTAATTTCTTTTGCTTCAATTTGTTTCAGATCTTGAAAAAAATGGAATTTTTGCAAGAAATCTTGGATAATGCTCAATTCTTTGGCCAAAATGAATCAATTCGACGATTGAAGATATGGATTAAATGATTGATGATTATATTGAATTGATCGATTTTTTCGAATTAAATCATCCGGATAATTGTTCAGACAATGACCAATTTGATCTATTTTGGTGTTCAATTTAAAAATCCTTATCTGGCTGGTTGGTAGGTTATCTTTTATGATTGATCTTCATTCAAAAAAGCAAGTAGATTTTAATTTCGAAATAATTGATTCTATTGACCGATTAGAAAACCAACCAAACTATTATGGTTATCTTTTAGAATCGAATGAAACAATTTGTTCAACATTCAAATGGAACAAATATCTATGTGTTGAATATTATCAAAATTATCGTTGTATTATTGAATCATTGATTGAAAAGATTGGAATCTTCAAGGACATGGTCATACTTGATCGACGTTTATCATAGTACTCGATTGATCAATTGATTGATTATACCTTTACACCCATCTATATTGTTTGCATTTTATCAAAACAAACTAAAAAATTTCTGGATACATCTCTATCATCGATGATAATCTCCCCATCCTGGATCTATTTTTATGGACAGATTTCCAAAATTGGATTAAATCATAAACAACACTTGATTGCATATCCATAATAATACTTTATTACAAAAAAAGAAGTTTTTTTTTTAAATTTGATTAACAATGTTATACAAAATAAAAATGAAAATGTTATATTTATCAAATGTATCAATCGGAAACAAAATCTTTTTCAGTTATGGTCAATTTAGGTTGATTTTTTTTGTTTGCAAGGCAAATCTTTTGTTTTACAAGGAGATTGTTGTTCGGAAAACCATTTCAAAAATTTTGTAATATTGTTTTTGTTTTTCGGTAAAACATTTTTGATTGTTAATTCGACAAGTTTATCATTCATTCCATCAAGTTTATATTGTTCGATTAATGGTAGATAAGTAAATAAAGTCCATTCATTTAGATCAATTCGTATGAATGATTTACAATGTTCCATTAATTGTTCATCACAATAATACATATACACAACACATACGTACATCTGTAGACCATTGAATCAGAATAATTTTCATTGCATTGTTTGCAAGAATCGATGGAACTAAATCTGATCGTACTGGTAATCGATATGAAATTTCATCAGGATTTGGTGAAATTAAATCACGAAATCGTTGTAGAAAATAGATTCCGGTAGCAATGATCAAAATGATTGAATACTCAATACGGATGGCATTTCGTGATATGATCAAAAACGATTGTCTTGTACATTGTGATGGACGACGAAAATTATTTGTCATCCATTCATTCAAATGATATTGTGGTGAAATGATTTCAGTTCCGGTCATTTCTCGAATTCTACGGATTACAGTACCATTTCGGCCTATTTAAATAATAATAATTATTATTTTGTTATTATCAATATCACAATTTCTTTATTATCATTAATGATCACAAGAACAAATTGATACAATGATTGAATGTGACTGTACGTTATGGAATGCAGCAACCGAATGTTTCGAATCAAAGGCATGCATGCAGTGTCTTATATGACTAGCATGAATGTGTGAGTCTCAAATCCTAGAAAGCACATGGCGGAAAAGGACGAATGAAAAGGAAACATGCTGCGGTGCGCAAGCGCATGCTACAATTTCGAAATTAAAAAAACTACTTTCTTTTTCAATGAATATCAATCCCAAAAAAAAAGATAACCTACCAACAACACGAGCAGCCAGATAAGGATTTTTAAATTGAACACCAAAATAAATCAATTGGTCATTGTCTGAACAATCTTTCGGATGATTTAATTCGAAAAAATCGATCAATTCAATATAATCATCAAAATGTCGTTTAATCCATGTTTTCAATCGTCGAATTGATTCATTTTGGCCAAAAAATTTAGCATTATCCAAGAATTCTTGCACAAATTCCATTTTTTTTTCAAGATCAGAAACAAATTTTTAGCAAAAGAAATTAAAACTTATTACTTATCGCACTAATGTTTCGAAAATGAATGGGAAATAAAAAAAAATATCAAACGATAATAAGGACCATTTTTTGCATGTTTTCATTCAATAGCCAGACAGTCTGGCGCCTTATTATTATATTTCCCTTGAATTTCAAGTCTTGATTTTTGAATGCGCATGATTAATTTGAAAGAAAAAAAATGAAACAGCGTACAATTTCTAATTTAAAATTTTTTTTTTCGCTGAAAACAACAAAAACAGAAAAAAAACTGGACGAAAAAAAATAATCAAATTGAGGAGACAAAATTTTATTTAATCAAAGTTTGTTGCTCGTATGAAATCAATTTTAAGAAATTTGGTAATATTTTTTTTTCAAAAGATTATTATTAAATTTTGGTTGGTTGGTTATCTATCAAAATTAAACAATGATTTTTGTTGATGATGATGATTGTTACACAAAACAAAAATAATGTTATAATAGTCAAATGTATCAATCGAAAGGAAAATCATTATCAGTTATCGTCAATTTCGGTTGATTTTTTTCGTTTGCAAGGCAAATTTTTTGTTTTACAAGAAGATTGTTGTTTGGAAAACCATTTCAAAAATTTTGTAATATTGTTTTTGTTTTTCGGTATAACATCTTTGATTGTTAATTCGACAAGTTTATCATTCATTTCATCAAGTTTATATTTTTCGATTAATGGAAGATAATTAAATAAAGTCCATCCATTTAGATCAATTTGCATGAATGTTTGACAATGTTTCATTAATTGTTCATCATTATAACAATTGGCGAGATCGATAAATTCGGATATATTGGATCGATTGATTTGAATATTACCAGTATGTAACATACGTAGATATGAATAATATACATCATAACTATAATCTTCAATGATCACTTTATTATTTTCTTGCCAATCACCTGAAAACATTTGACTAAAATATTTTGATAATATTTTCAGGTGACACTTTGAAGCCAATATACGTTTGTTATCGATAACAAACTCGATATCATAATTATCAGGATTATTCAATAATTCAATAAATGATATTGGATCATTTGATTCGAATGAATATATGGTTGATGTCAGGCCAAAAGTAATTATGGAGTCACGTGATATTGCTGATGCTGCAGCGAATGATTTCAGTTGACCATCCAATTTTTTGAGCGGGACCAATTCTTTATTATTTAATCTACCCCATTTATAATAATTTGATGAATGATCCAAAGCATATGAAATAAGGTGATGATTCTTACAAGCCACACTTTGCACGTTTTCAATGGGAATTTTTGTCGGCACTTTTGCATCTTGTTCATTATCATTAATAGGGCGTTGACCAT